ACCGAGTGGAAGTCGAATACATTTTTGTTCGGCCTCCGCACGGCATGTATCCTTATGTAAATAACTGGATTACATCGAAAGTGAAACAGAATAAACGGCCTCGATCCGATAGGTTTGCAATGCTCTTGGAGGAGCTTAATAAACACATGTATAGTGCTCGTCTAATAATAAAAAACCGTGAATTGGTTAATCATGCTCGAATCGTTATGTATGAGGATCTTCCTCGTCTCGATGATCCCTGTACATTGTTAACGCTTCTTCTTGCGAAGTCGATTCTATGTCTTGATTATTGATTGTATCTTATCATCTAACTATTAACTTGTCTTGTTTCAATGAAAGCACTTAATCGCTTCGAGGTGCAAAAGAAGCAATCGATCGGGCAGTCGGCTGGCGGGTCTGTTCCTCCCAAGCCGGTGGGTGCATCAGGGACGATTCTTGCCACCGCGGAAGTCGAAACAGCTGCTGCGAAGAAGTCTAGGGTCGAGAACTCTGGTTCCGCCAAACAGCACAAGCAATCGGGCTCCGACGCCCGAAAAAGGCCCCAAGACGACCGGGATCTCGTCCTGATCCCTGACGGCCTGAAGCGTCGTAAGGTCGACAAAGGGAAGGAGAAGGTGGTCGAGAAGGCTACTCCTTTTCCCATCACCGTCAAGGACGTGACGGTGAAGATGCCTTCTCAGCTCCGGAATCATCCAGCGCCATACAAGGTGGCTAAGTACTTCAACTCCCTTATCCCGAGGTTGATAAGACTCATGTCGAGGGGAATCTCCAGAGCCATACAAGGTGGCTAAGTACTTCAACTCCCTTATCCTGAGGTTGATAAGACTCGTGTCGAGGGGAATCTCCACGAGCGCAACCATGTTATTTAATGCCTCTCCCGGGTTTTTTTTCCTTTCAGTTGATTTAATATTATTTTCTAGTTTCTTTCTTCTCATCTGTCTTCGATATTCTCTTTGCAGTTTCTATCCACGACACTTCCTTGTCTTGAGAAAAGGAGCAAAGCTCCGGCCATTTCTACCAAGTCCCACGAGGACAAATGTGAGGCTCAACGCAAGGAGACCGAGGAGCTAAAAGAGGATTTAGAGGCCTCGAAGGCTCTTGTCGACAAGCTGAAGGTCGACAAGGCCATGGACCACCGTGCGAATGAGAAGCTTAAGGCCGACCTTGAAAAAGCTCGCGAGGAGGTCCTGGCTGATAAAGGACGCCGGAGTCGAGGAGGGTCGGAGGACGCTCTTGAAATCTCCGATGGGCTCTATCTTCCTCGAGACTTACCGCAAGGAAGCCATCCAAGCCTTTTGAAACTCCCCTGAGTTCCTCGACAAATTTTGTCTCGCCGCCGTCTAATAT